CCCAAGGAAATCAGTATGATGGGAAGCATACACAACCCCAGGAATGTGTTGCCCGCACACCTGGCAGCTTTGTCTTCGGGCCTCCTTCTTAGGGATTCCATACGCTTTTTTGTTGTTGCTGTTGGTGGTGGTACTGGGGATTGAACTCAAGGCCTCCCAGAAGCTATTGTTTATAAACATTTTACTGAAATGTAACACACAAACAAAAACATAGATATATTGTTAAGTACACAGCTTAGTGAAGTTTTACAAATTTTTCTACCCTGTACAACCAGTACCTGCATCAGAAATAACTTTTTTCTACTGTTTGACCTGTGCACATCCAAACTTCAATGAAAATACATTTTCAGGAATGCTTCTAGGAGACTATCATTAAAATAAGCAAGACAAAAAGCAACTCTTTTCAAGAAGTGACCCACTGCCACACAGGAGAGGCACTCAGCGTGGGACCTCCCTATTCCCAGTCAATAGGACCGCTTACAAATTCCAGGACAGTACCATCACAGTCACTCCACCTTCTAGGGTTTCCTTTCCAGGTAGACTAGATGATGGTCAAGAACAGACCTCTAGGACAAGGTACCACTTTTCCCCAAATTAAAACATTCTACTAGCTGCTCTAAGTTCTGGGAGAGATCAGTCAATTGTCTCAGTCTAGATTTCACAAGTGTTGGCTCTAACTTCAGCAAATCCTTTTCCTTCCACTAACCCATCACAACAGAAGCAGAAATGCCCTAGGAAAACAAGGTCTCACAGGCTTTCACCTACTGGAAAATCAGGCACAGGCCTTTACCAAATACTAATACATTACAAGGAAACAGTAATTTAAAACAATGCTTTAAAAACAAAACAACTCGTGTAAACTCCAATGTGAGTCATGAGCTTCCATTCTAGCACATATATTGCAAAGTTCCTTGAAGAACTACAACCAAAAAACCCGTAACAGAAAATTAATACATAAAATACACACCTACTCAGCAAACCACTGCTTTTATTAAAATGAAAACTGTAGGGCTCACGTGCTAGAGCACAAGTACTGCACAAAAAAAAAAAAAAAAAAAAAGTAAAGGCCTCCAGGCTGCTAAGAAAACTGGACTTGACAGTGCTAAAGAAAGCAGAACTGAAACAACAATCAGACTATCAAGGTTATGCAAAAATGAAAAAATGATGCGTATACTTCATGCCAACACTAGATGGGAATGATCCAGAAAATGAGGCACACAGAGCCTGTGTGGTTCACTAAGATGTAAAGAGTTCACTAAGATGTAAGGTGAAAATCATTCCTAAGGAAAAGCTTCATGGATCTTATGTTCCCAAGCTGACCTTTACAGAGTATAAAATCTGGTGAGTCTCCCAAAATGGATCAGACTAGCTGCTGACATCCAGCCCTCCTAGTGAAAGGGAGGAGTGAGGTTATCATGATACCGCGAACACTGTGGTTAAGAAAAGATTTCTATTCTCACTATTTTAGGGAAAGTTTTGTGACCTGGCCAGGTTCTTGACTCCAGTGGCAGGGGCCAGTCAGGCAATGAACAGAAAATCCCAGCACAGAGCTGCTTCTTTGTCCATTTCCCTGGGCAAATCAATGTAGCCTTAGTCTTTAAAAGTAGGCAACACAACCTACTTCACAAAACTACATGGAGGATTCGATCACAACGTGAAGGACCTAACAGCATGACTTTTACAAGGAAGTGATAACTTCCATCTCTTGGTGGGAAAAGGGATGGCTCTGAAGGTCTCCTCCCACTCCCCTAATCCAAGGCTACCAAAGTCTCCAGGGCGCAGAGCAGGAGCCAGCTCAGCTCTGGCAAAGGCAGAAGAGGCAAGGAGTTCCAGGGGACCTTCTGGTGGAGAAGATGGGGAAAGAACAGTGTTCTAAACTTTGTTCTTTCACTATTAACTAACTATGCCTGACGATACTAGTCGGTATTCAGTGAACATCTGATAAATGGTCACACCCAGTGTCAAGTCCTCCAGTAATCATGAAAAGGCAGGAAGCATCAACTCTGAGAGTTGCCCAGTGAGACTCCACAACATACTTTGGGGTTTGTATAGAGCACTAGCATTTACTACTACGGAAGAAAAACATTTCTGAGCGTTAACTTCAGCTACGCTCACCATAGTTGCTTTTGAAAGTCTTATTTCAAAATATTCACCAACCACTGCCTTTCATAAGCAATAAAGTGGCCTAATTTTTTTTTATCTCTATGCCCACACCAAGAAGCCTTTTATAAAACAAAACTGGATCTTAGTTCTAAAGAAAATTCTTAAGAGCCATTTAAAAATCAATATGCTTGGACTAGTCTATTCAAATAGTTTCAAGGGCCTTTTTTATTAATATACTCTAGCATTCATAAATAGATTTGTCATGTAATAGCTTGTGGTTCTCTGTCCTGGTACCTGACTAGATAAGAATCGCTGTGGTCTCTTAGAATTCAGTTCTGCTATGGATGAGAAAGTCAGTAGTACAGAGAAAAGAATGGGCAGGTGGCATTTTAAATACGAGACTATGAAAGTGGCAAATCACTGTCCTTCCAGAAGTCACATTTTAAGTCACACAATCAGATGGGTACACTTTGCAGCTATGAGGTCAACACCTGAAAAATTCTCCCTTACCCCTTCAACAGCAGGCTCTATGTATATTCATGAGGACATTTAGCATCCTGGAGCTAGAGGAGAGTGAAAAGGAGGACAGTGACACTCTGGACCTACCAGCTTCTCTGCCAGGAAGCTGAGACTCTCTCCTGCAGCTCCAATGAGCTGCACTGTTGACAGCTTAGTAAGGGATCACACCCTTTCCTGCACTAGGGATTGTTTCCGTCACTCAACATTAAAGTGCAAAGACACAACGTCAGCCCAAGAAGGACCACAGCCCCTGGGAGGCCCGATCACTGCAGAGGACAGCAAATCCACTACACTGCTGTGGTCACAGAAAGCAGACTTGAAAGTGGATCAGAGTGTGCATGCACTGTCTCCCTTCGATGACTACTGTCCCTCATAACATTCCACCTAAGCCGCTTTGCTTTGCTGGAACACCTTGGAGCTCTGCACTTTCCAAGGGGTGGAAATTATATTTACTGCATGTGTGAGATTAAAGCACACTGCCTGCTGAGCTGAGCCAGAATGGGTGTGCAATGGGGCTTCAGTCTCTCATCACACCGAGGTATTCATAAGGCTGGGGACCGGAGTAGAACCACATGAATTTAGCATCTTGTTGTGCCTGAAATATTCATTAAGTACTCTTATTTGCAGTCACCTGCCTACCCCTCAGAATCACTCTCAGCTCATTTAAATTAAAGAGACTATAATCCGCTCACATTTAAATTATGACAAATAGGAACATTTCCACTGGAAAAAATCATCGCATGTTAATTTGTGCTGCCAATTAGGAGGTCTTTATCAAAGAAAAAAAAAAATAACCCGATCATCTTACATATAGTAATTTGCCCTAATTGGTATATAACGGGTTGGATATAATTTGTGGATTATCCTCACATGGTAAATAGTTTAACATTTTAGAACTACCAAAATTTAGCCTCAGTACTTGACAGTAAAACGTTCACTTCCAACTGTCCAACTGCACATTCTGGAACATTCTGAATTTCCAAAGCAAGAACTATGGATACAAGAGTGCAAAGTGTAAACAACTTTCCAGCAGAACAACAGGTTTCTGGAGTGATACATCAAGATGCATTTTCTGATGAAATGTACAAGGAGCTCAAATCTCCTCCAGAGGTGTTTTGTTTGCTTCAGGTTCTGGAAAAGCTAAAACTTCTAGAAGCATAGAATGCCAATATATGGCAAAAGCCAAGTGGCACCCAAAAAAGAATCAAAGCTTGACTCAGTCCTCAGGCTGGCTCCTTGTTTTCCTTACTTTTAATATCATTTTTAAACATTTCTCACAAACGGCCACTTTCAGGAGAGCTTGCAGAAATCACTAGCCAAAGCGACCATTGTGGTTCAGTCCTTAATTGGCCACCAGACTTAGGCAGGTGAGATCTGGCAACGCTGGGGGCGCCTCCCAACTCCCAGCCCCAGCGCCCAGGTGGAGAACAAAGGTGAGCACCAGTGGAAGGTTAAGGTGGAAAGAAGCAATGGGTCCCAGGGTTCTCAGCAAAGCACAAAGAAACCAAACCTTCGCACAAAACATCTCAGGCCCCAAAAGCAGCGGAGAAGCTGTTTCCTTCCCTTTTTAAGTGTTCTTAGCTTTTAGTGGGTAGAGGGGAGGGGGGAGGTGTTATTGCTTACCTGTAAAAAAACCAGTTCATTTTCAGTTTTATTTTGAAACAGGGTTCATGTAAAAGTAGAGAAAAGCGCTTTGAAAAAGTTTCAGAGACTTTCACAATTTCCACCACTCACTGAAACTTTTGGGAAAGTTACTCTTAAGTGTTTGTTAATGAGTTTTAAAGCCTAGTTAGGGCCATAATGCCTAACTGGAGTCTTGCTGCGTATATGATTTGGGATCTTGCAGCTGTTTATTTTTTAACTTGGCCATAAGGACATTGCCATTTCTCGAAGGTAGTTACAAATTCCTTGAAAACATTTATAGAAGCTCTAAGACGATCACAAAAGCAACTCCTCTTCAAACTCCATTACCCAAGTTGGGCTGGTCTGACTCGTGTGATTTTTTTTTTAAGCAAAATCACACTTTGTTAAACTTCCTTATCTCTGTGCCAATTCCTGCAGGAAGGGAAGGGGAAGCTCGCTAGACTCCCCAACCCTCCCCCAGGTCCCCCAGCGCTGCAAACTCAGGCGCTGCGTCCCCGGTGCCTCCCCGCACCTCCCGAGGAATGCGTGCACACCTGGGGCGCGAGGCCGCAGCAGCTCGGTCTGCGACCCTCCCCCCGGGCACCACCGTGACCCCCCGCAAGCACCTGCGGGGCGCGCCCGCTCAGAAGTTCACGGGACAGGGTGCACTGCGGTCAAGGGCCACGTTTCCAATCTGGGGCCAGGGCGCAAAGGAAATGCAAGTCGTGGGGGCGTCCGGGCTACCGGACCCTCACCTGGGAGCGAGTCGCCAACTCCATCTTCCTAACCGGGCTCCAGCCTCCTCCTAGCACGCGGCCACTGGAGCCTGAACTCGCCACGGGCGCGGCGCACCGAGAACACTCCGGAGTCGCGCGGCCGAGCGCACTCCGTGCGGACCTCCGGCGGGCCCAGGGAGGGGCGCACTCGGCGCCCGGGACGGGGGGAATGGCGCCGGCCCGGCCGCTCCGCGCCGCCTCGCGGGACCACAAACCACCGACCACCGGCCCAACTTGGCGACCCGTGAACTTCACTTCTTGGGCAGCACGAGGCGGGCTAGGGGCAGGGCGCGGCCGGAGGCGGAGGGAGGGTGCGCGCGCCGGGCTCCCCCCTGCCGCGGAGCGAGGGAGTGGAGCCGTCCAGTCGGGGTTCGCGCGGGAGAAATGAGAAGGGGCCGCCCCGGCCCGGATCCCGCGGGCACGCCCCGCTCGCTCTGCTCCGCGCGCCCCGGCTCCAGCTTGGCCCCGCAGCGCCGGTCTTCACCGCAATCTGACGCTCGATTCAGGAAAGGATTTTAGGGCGGCTTCGGAGCCTGTTTTGTTTTGTTGTGGTTGTAAAGGGGCGGGGCTTGCCGTCTCCCAAAACATTGGCCGCTTGCTTCACTTTGCAAAACCAGCAACCCAAGTTTCTTTACCAAGGCTGGGGCGCAGCACCCCTGCCCCGGAAACTTTAACCCGGCTTTGCACACTGTGCAACTGCACGCCGTGCCGTTGCACGCGAGGCCTCCACCCCCACTAGGCAGCGTTCCTAATTGGTACCCACCAGGTATCAGCTACTGGGTTGGACCTGGGGACACGAGGGTGAATAAAACTCTGGCTTGCCCTCTGTTGGAGTTTATGAACTGGGAGTCCGTCTCCACCCACACGATGTGAATGAATTAATAATACAAGGATAATAAGAATGACAATTATGTAATTTTATTACTTTGGTTGATAATTGGTGTAAGTAGTAATCTGATTGCTACCACTAATTAAGGATAAATGTAATAATGGTGCGTATTTGGAGCGATGACAGGCTGTGAAGAAAAAAGTAGGTGGTGTTATAGTGCAGAGGCAGAGGTCAGGGAAGACTTCTACAGTTCTGGCGGGAGGGGTGAAGAATGAAATGGGTTGGAAGTTGTAGAAGGCCGGAAGTAGGCTCTGAGGAGTCTGGAAAAAGCAGTCCTAAACACAGTATTGACGGCCTGTTCAGCACTGAGGTCCTGAATTCTGCACCCCCTCGGTTGCTCGAATCTGATGTTCATATTATCTTTGTTGAGGGAATGAATGAGGTTGCCTCAACAGTTACTCCAGCTTGAAGATAAAACATCTGGGAATGATCCTCCCTGCTTTCTTCTTTAGTGCAGCAAACATGTGTTATGTATTCTCCGTGTTCCAGACCCTTAGGGGCAGTAAGAACAAAACATTGTCTGATTTAAGAAAATACCTTGACTGGGTATGACCGTACAGCTCTGTAAATCCCAGTACTCCCGAGGCTGAGGCAGGAGAACCCTGAGTTTGAAGCCAGCCTAGGTTACATAGTGAGACCCTACCCCAAAGAAAAGGAAGAAAAGTTTGTTTTCTTTTTTTTGGATAATATGAACTATGATTGTAGCTACTTTCATGTTTATTATGTTTGCGATTTCCTTCACATACAGTATCTCTAGGAATTCTCTTAACATTCTCCCAGATTTTTTTTTTCCAAAGTGGCAGTAAAGTTTTATTGAAAGTGAAAGCAGGAAAAAAGTGAAGAAGGCAAGGAAGACCACAGGAGAGCAGAGGGTCTCCCAGATTCTTTTTGTCCACGCTTTTAAATAAGGAACTAGAATCTTAAGATTCATGACAAAGATTGCTGCCACCCTGCTAGTGACAGCAGCAGATTGTCAACTGGAAACAATTTTTATACCTCCAGATTCAACATTCTTTCCATAGTTCTTTACTTCTTCTGCCAGGAAGTACACAGTGCAATTTACTCAACCAACCTCCTCTTCCTCTTCCTCGGCTACCACCTCCTTCTATTTCCTCCTTCTCCTTTCTTCTGATAATTGCTTCCCATGAACCAATGATTTTATTTGCATTATTTCTTATCATGGTAGCTTACATCAAATCCCTTTTGGAAAGGGAGTATTAAATTTGGAGTAGTCAAGTTACAATAACTAGCCTAGCTAGTGTTTCAAACCTGTAAGCTGCTGAGTCTTCCTGATTTAGAAATCTGCAGTAACCAGCCCTAAGTCTTCAAAGGTCCATCTGGAAACTTCCTTTGCCCAGTAGAGCCCATACACTTGAATGGTACTCGATAATTAATTCTGTATTGGTGCGTTTTGGTCTCATTCTGTTCCTTAGGAACCAGGGGGTTTTAACATCCATCTGTGGTAATACTTTCTACTAATGGTTATTGATAGAGTGAATAAGGCTTGAGCAAGGAGTTTCAGCATGGGCTGTACGAATGAGGGCCCTTCCAGAAGCAATGGAATACATACTATCCATACTGCCACCAAGGAAAATACTTACAAACCAATTCTTCGTCTATCTAGAAGTCTATGCTTGATTCTTGCTTTTAAAATGTTTCTATGAGAGAATAAGAAATCTTCCAAGTTCTAAGAAGTCTGTGACGAGAAAATGAGGGAGTTAAGAACAGCTACCCTGAAATATGCTGCTGTGGCATATTGTTGACTCAAAGATACGCACACACCCATACAAAGAAAAACAAAAACAAAACAACAGGTGCACAATCACACTAACCTTCCCGGTATTCCGGTATTCCTTGAAAGTAGATGAAACTCCCTTGTAAACGATATCTCCCTACCCCAGAAGAAAAACAACATTCTTATCAAGGATAGGAAACTGAAGTACAGGGAAATCTGTGCAGACCAGTCTTGTTAAATTAACCCTTATCTTCACCAAATAACTACCCTAAGGCAAGGCCCCATGCCTTACCCACATGTTACTACTTTGTTCAATTCAGTACGAAGTGTTCAACTTGAACTGCATGTTTGGGTATTCATTTCTTCATGACAGCTCTCGTGCCACCTAAAATTTGTATGAAATAAGTTGGTATGCTATTCTCCTATTAATATATCTTATATGAATTTAATTCTCTGGCCCGGCTGGGCCTCAGGTAGGATGGAAGTGGAGTTTTGCATCCCTACAAAGCTACCACTGAACTGACTTGAAATGAGGTGACAATTGTGATTGGATGTCAGCCCTGGCACCAGTGTTTGCCTTGTAGAAGGAATCCATGCATCTCTACCCTCTTCTTCCCACAAAGCTCAGTTGGCAAACTCTTCTGCCCATCGATGTCACTCTGGATTACTCCACAAAGAATCCAGTCTTGGCAGAAAGCTGGACGTAGTACGGGTAATATCTGGATAATGCTTAGCACTATATTTGCTGGTGAATAAAGGAATGACAGCCAAACAAGATAATACCCTGCTTGTCTCTATCTCTTGGGCTCTTGAAACTTTCATCTCCTTGTGATTAGGTCCTAGCCTAGAAAAGAGAAACAGCCCTACGTTTGAGATATTCAGACCTCAAGTTTCCAACTTGGTGCCAAATAATCAGTTAGGATTGAGTCTTTTTGTAGTAAAACCATAACATTTCCATGACTGGGTGCTTTTGTGGAAAGCTTTTTATTTTAAACTGTTGTCCCATGTTCCTGCCTTGCAATAGAAGAGACTGCTGATATGGTTTCACAATTTAATTACATTCTGATAAAAGCCCTCTTGAATACCTTTAGAGATAAACATCTGGACAATCAATATTCAAATGCTTCCATATGCTGAGTGCAGAAAAATGCATCATGATGAGGCCGTACTGCCTGTGGTTCTACAGGGAAGACAGGAATAGGGTGTCAACAGCAGCAGCTCTCTTAAATAGAACTCACCTTGCTCCAAGCCCTGTGCTGACACTGAATTAACCTTTTTCATGTATCCTCTCATTATTTGTTGCCTTTTTTTTTTTTTTAATTTTTTTGCAGTACTGGTTTGAACTCAGGGTCTCCTGCTTCTGCTCTACAATTTGAGCCATACCCCAGCTGCATGTTCTTAATTTAACCTACAATTGTGAGAGTTCTACATCTGCTGTGAAAATAATATTTGCAAAACATTTGGGATTTCTTAGAAATCCTATACAGACTCTAACCATGATTAATACAATCCATGCCATAAGCTTTTGCAATGTACAGTATGCTATTTTTAATTTAGCCTGTGAACATAAATTACTTGTAACTAACACAGTGAATGGATAAAAATGAAAGTAGGCTATTCACTAATTCTTATGTTTCGAAGAATTTACATATTGTAAAAGAAAATTTTAATGACCTATTTCTAATTAGTGGTCCCAACAAAATAATGTGATGCATAGTTTTTAAAGAACTATGTTTTTTTCATAATGAATTGTATAGGTAGCCTTATAAAAGTAATTTGTAAAATATCAATAAATGTATTTATAAGAAATCACTTTTAAGTTACTTATTAAAGAACAAAAGTCATAAATATTTCACTAGTGTGATAGAAAAATGCAGACTATTTTTAAATGCAAGGTTTTAAATTTCCATTTTGTCAAAGCTAAATGAACCAATTATCTAGTGTTTCAGGAAAGAATTGCAACGTGTCAATATCCATTCCGTTCATTTTCATTCCTGAAAACTTTAATAGTCCAGCTATGGACAGTCTTAATGATTTGCTAACTCTGATTCACAACATCCAGCAAGCAGTAATAGAAAGTCTTGGACCATAAAATGGAAAGTTTTGGATCAGAAATGTAAGTCTTCTCTATATGTTTGGCTCTACAAATATTTTGTAGTAATTCTATAGTTTTCAGGGTGGAAAATCCAGAGCCTTCCAGACTTTGTGAAATTTCCAAAGTTGTTAACACTTAGCCTTTTTACTTGGAATTATTGAGTATTTATATGCCAGGGATAAGGCTGAATCATTTCTGTGTTAGCAGAAAATCTGGAGTCTTAAGGCAGTTTGGGGTTTGCTTATTCCTTTAAGCTTCCAGATGGTTCTCAGACAGGCATGTTTGAGAACCAAGGCTCCAGCCTAACTTAGTACTTTGCACAGTGTGGTCCTGAGACCAGGAGTATCAGCATTCCTACAGCTCTGGTAAGATTAACATTCTTGCCTCATCTCAGACCTACTGAATCAGAAACGGGGTGGAGCCAGAAATCTGTGCTTTAGTCACCATCCAGGTGACGGATCCTTGCCCAGACTTCAGAACCTCTGTGGTTGTGATCAAAGGTTGATTGGTTACCACCTGG